AGTTGCCAGACAACTGTTTATCTACTTTGAGCCCCATGGAATGAGGGAAGGCATGAAAGTGGTCTTGGAACACCAAAATAGATTCCAGTGAGTAAAACTCACTTCCCCTGGGTTTTAAAGGCCCCAGGAGCAATCAGTATGTTGGCTTAGTTTTCAATACCAGGCAAATATCCAGGGACGAGTAGGCTCAGCTACAGAATGAGAAATGATGTTAAGAAAGAAAAGAGAATGAGAAAACTTGTCCAAAAAGAAGATGCAGAAACCAATATATTCTGCCATCACAGTACAGGTATCAGCAGCTTTTGAAACCGATCTCTTTCAGAAAAATACTAAAAAGAAGAATCTTATAAATAAAAGTAACAGAAAAATATCCGTATATAAGGCAGTGTAGTCTAATGACTAAAAGCACAACTCCGGAATTTTACAGTTTGATCATGTCCAAACTTGGTCTCTTACTAGTTGTGTAACCCTGGGCAAACTACTTAGCTTCTTGGAGTCTGGTTTCTCTCATCTGTAAAAAAGAACCAGTTTTCTGTTCCTTTTTAGTTAGGAGGACTTAAATGATAATGTTTGTTAAACGATGGTGCCTAAGCTATAGATTAGTGTTTAATACAAAGGAATTAAACAAAACTCCCAGCTGACACCACAGAATCCAGGCCGAGGGGCTCCCTACTACCTTAGATTCAGGCATCATCAGAGCAATCAAAACTGACCATCCCAGCGAGTCGTCTAGAATGGAAGATTGGGGAGCTCAGAAGACCCTCCCCCCAGCAAAACAACCATTTAACTGCTGAAAAAAAAAATTTTAATTATTTAAAGTCTCTCAAAACTGTCCTAAGGGCGTGCAGCAAATAGAGAAACATTCGTTAAAGAAAACCTACTAAATATCGTTAAGAACAGCAAGAGCCTATGGCACTTGAGCCATGACCTGCTCTCTTCTCCTGCCCCCAACTCCGTGTTACAGAAACTCTATTCTGGCTACTCTATTCTGGATGGCTGTAGCCAAGAACAGGGGAGTTGCCTTTAGTTCTCAGTCTAAGGGTACAGTTTCACCCTGGGAGGGGCAGGCCACTGGTTTTTCTCATCCCCCTCCATCCCCTGGTTGCAAAAGCTCTATTCCGGGCAAGCTTAGTTTACAGAAGTGAAGTCCCATTCTCCCACTCGGAACCAACTAATAGGGCAGAAACTCTACCCCAGGAATAGGCAACAATAATAACGGAGCTTCCATCACTCCTGTCTCAGTTTGTTTGTAAGACGGAGAGTCCATGCTGAAGGAGCAAGCTGAGAAGACCACAGGCTACCAGCCCCCCACTCCCCAGCACCTGCTTGCTCATAGAGGAGGGGTGTCACTCTGAGAGAAGCAGGTCGCTACCACCATGCCTATCTCCTGTGCAGTAGTGCAGAATGTCTGCCCAGCGGGAGAGGCAGGTCATCAAGATAAACAGGTCTGCAGAAACTGACTTTATTTGGAAGAGAGCATAGAGAATCCAAGCCCACAGGTTTTTTTTTTAAAGCAATGGAGATCTTGGTAGAGAACAACTATGAGGGTACTGGAAGTCCATGACACTGACAACAACAAGCAAAATGGCAGAGCAGCCACAAGTTTAACAGAGAGAGAGCCAAAGAAAGAAACAGCCAAGAAGAGCCCTTCTGAGATCACAATAAACCGGGGTCCAGAAAGCCTATGCACAGGCACTAAGCTGAACCCACTCAGGAGCAATCAGAAGATGTGGGTCAGATTTGAAAATATCCCCGCACACAGATCCACCAACAAAGGGCAAAAGCCTCACCAGCACAACAGGCTTAAGCACAGCCCTTGACCAAACACTGGCTGAAAAATAAGCTACCCTGATGTAGGGGCAACTACTATGAAGATAGGCTTAACAATAAAAAATTGCATGCATCCCTGACTATCAGGAAGACTGTGTGCGTATCCAAAGCTGTACCCTCTCAAGAGTGAGTGGAGAGGGAACTTTCAAGCTACTAGTCCCTGGGTGAACATGGAACAAAAACATAAACTCCCTGAACTGTAATAACAGCCTCCAAGCCACACCAAGCATGCAATGGTAAAGGGTAAAAATCTAACTGGCTAAGAGGGCAAAGCACAACCTTTGACCAATAAGTAACTTACACTGACCCAAGGGTGACCTCTAGGTAGCCAGGCTAAAATATAAAAATAAAGGTTAAAAAAAAAGTCTAAGCAGGGACATCAGAAGCTGCACACTGTAGGATAAATAGACTTCATAGTGTTAGTCTTGCCAAGTTACTAAACAAAAAACAAGTGACCAAGCAAACAACAAAAAACAAAAACATAAGCCCCCAGTGGAGGTAGGAGGAAGAATCAGTAATCCAGAATTGCTACAATATATTATTTAAAATGTTCAATTTTCACAAAATTATATATATATTACACACACACACACACACACACACACACACACACACACACATATATAAGACATAAAAAGAAATCGGAAAGTGTGACCCATACACGAGAAAAAAAGCAGGCAATAGAAACTGCTTCTGAAGGGGCCCAGATGTTGAACTTAGCAGAGTTCAAAGCAGCTATTATAAATATGTTCAAGGAACTAAAGGAAATTATACTTAAAGAATTAAAGAAAGTATGATGACAATGTATCATCAAATAGAGAATATCAATAAAGAGATAGAAAATATAAAAAAGACAAAATGGAAATTCTGGAGTTGAAAAGTACGATAATGGAAATAAAAAATTCACTAGAAGGCTCAATACCAAACCCACTGCCATCAAGTGGATTCCAACTCATGGCAACCCCATGTGTTACCAAGTAGAATTGCTCCACAGGGTTTTCTTGGCTGTAATCTTTATGAAAGCAGATCACCAGCCCTTTCTTCCATAGTGCTACTGAGTGGGTTTGAACCGCCCATCTTTTGGTTAGTAGATGAGTATAAACCATTGGCACCACGACCTTAGAAGGCTCAATAGAGATGGCAAAAAATTAAAAAAAAAAATTATTTGAATAGACATTTCTCTAAAGAAGACATACAAATGGCCAATAAGCACATGAAAAAATGCTCAACATCATTAGTCATTAGGCAAATGCAGATCAAAACCACAATGAGATACCACTTCACACCCACTGTTGTTGTTGTGTGTCACTGAGTCGATTCCACCTCATAGCGGGAGCAGATCTCCAGGTCTTTTCTCTAGTGGAGCCACGAGTGGGTTCAAACTGCAGACCTTTTGTTTAGCCACTGAGCACTTAACCATTGCATGACCAGGGCTCAGACCCACTAGGATTATTCTAATCAAAAAGACAGACAATAAAAAGTGCTAGAGAGGATGTGGAAACATTGGAAATCTTATACACTACTTGTAGGAACGTAAAATGGTGCAGCCAGTTTAGAAAACAGTTCGGGAGTTTCTCAAATTGTTAAACACAGAGTTACTATATGGCCCAGCAATTCCACTCCTTGGTATATACCCAAGTGAAATGAAAACACATGTCCAAACAAGAACCTGTACATTAATGTTTATAGCAACATTTTTCACACTGGCCAAAAGGTGAAAAAAACCCAAATGTTCATCAACTGATGAATGGATAAACAAAAAGTATACCCATACAATGGAATACTATTCAGTCATAAAAAGAATGGAGTACTGATAGATGCTACAACATGAATTAACCTAGAAAACATTATGCTAAATAACAGAAGCCAGTAACTAAAGATCACACACTGTATGACTGCATATATATAAGATCTCCAGAACAGGCAAATCCATAAAGAAAGAAAATAGATTACTGGTTGCCTAGGGCTTTGGCCTGGGGCTGTGCAAGTGGGCATATGGAGTGACTGATAATTGGTACATGAGGAGTGACTGATAATAGGTACTGGGTTTCTTGTGGGGATTATGAAAGTAGTTTATATTTAGATTGGGTGATGGTTGTACAACTGTGTAAATACACTAAAAACTACTGAATTGTACCTTTTAAATTTTGTGAATTTTGTAGTATATAAATTTCAACTCTATAAAGATGCTTAAAAATAAACTGGCTATCCCCTTCTCTGCTGGGTATTCCTCTTGGCATTAGAGAAGAACAAAAGGACAGAAATTAGTTTCTCTGCCACTGGAAATTAGTCCATGGATACATTCAAGATTGACTGTTAGCTCACTGTTGACTGGTTATAAATTACAGGTGTAGGCATTTATATTGTCTGATGAAGCTGAGTCATAGTGCTAATAAATAAAAGTATAGCTCCAGTCTAAAATTTTTTGGATTAGAGGCCTCAAGTTTTATAAAAATAATTAAACCAATTCAGTATGCAAAGTTGTGTTCCCTATTTCATCAAATCAAAAACTTCTGCACATTGAGGTCACCTGGAAGAAGTCATACTTTTTGCATCCTAGTTACACATATTTTAATTCTCTACAGAGAAACTACCCCCATGCAACTGTTGGTTTGACTACGTCTCATATACTTTGGACATACTATCAGGAGGGATCAGTCCCTGGAGAAGGACATCATGCTTGGTAAAGCAGAGTCAGTGAAAAAGAGGAAGACCCTCAACAAGATGGACTGACACAGTAGCTGCAACAACGGGCTCAAGCATAACAACTATTGTGAGGATAATGCAGGACTGGGCAGTGTTTTGTTCTGTTGTGTATAGGGTCACTATGAGTCGGCACCTAATAACAACAACAGAGAAACTAAGTGTTTTACTAGATGTAGATTATTAAGTAATAAGGCTGATAAGTGTCATGGACCAATAGCTATAGGTTGTCCCTTTTAAAAGTTACACCACACAATCTTCTTTCAAAAAAGACAGAAAGAAGCAAGGGAAGAAAGAAGAAGGAAGAAAAACTAAGAGTAGAGAACTCATGAAGTAATGGAATAAGAAATTATGATGTTTTCCTTTAATCATCCAAATTATAATGTAAATCATGGATATTATGATCAATTATATTAACTGATGTTAGTTTTATAAAGTAGGTAGAAAATTGACTTGAAAAGACAAACCTTCTGGAGGGGTCCCAATGCTACTACCAAGACCAAAAATAGCCATCTTGTGAATCCTTGGTTCTAACATCACAGCAGACTCTTCTCCCCTTTCCCAGTGGGGTATTTTGACTGGCTCCAGGTGGACGTTCTCCAGCCCATCTTCCCGTAAGTTTTGGTACATGATTTGGATTGCTTTTTCTAGGCTCTTGGAGCCACTCAGTCTGGGTCCAACAGCATAAACCAGAAGTGCCAATCGCTCATAGGATCTGTTCTGGGCTTTACCATAAATAGCATGGTTGATGATGGCTTTGGCAACATCTCCATAGGTGGCTATTTCTTCTTTTATTTCTTGAAAAGTCCTCTGAGAGATGCCATTCCCGTATATAGCTTTCCCAGAGCTCAGGCATAAAAGGTGAACAACGCCAACAAATGTGAAGAGAAGGGACTTCATTTTTTTCTTTTTTTCCAGTTGCTTCTTCCTAAGATAATTAACATAAGTAAGAAACATTCACGTTTTGGGGTGGGGGAAATGTCACAGCCATATTCCCACAACACAGGGGTTGCTGTTTGTGCCACAAGGGCAGCTGCACTACCCTTCCGGGCCATTCCCCAACCTCTACCATCAAATTCAGTTACCATCACTCCCAGGAACGGGGAAGTAAAGAGATAATGGTTGGCCTTATTGAAGATATGGTATTTATGAAAACCACAAAATCACATGTTATCTAATAATTCTGTTTAAAATATGCCAAAAGATTAAAAGAAGAGGACTAGGAAGAGGGAAAGAATAGTGGTAGCAGTAGTGACAACTGTGATAGGATTGCTGTTGTTGTTAGGTGCCGTCGAGTCAATTCTGACTCATAGCAACCCGATGTGACAGAGTATAATTGTCCCATAGGGTTTTCTAGGCTATGATCTTTAAAGGAGCAGATCGTCAGGTCTCTCCTCCTACAGAGTCACTTGGTAGGTTCGAACCCCTGACCTTTTGGTTAGCAGCTGAGCACTTAACTATTGTGCCACCAGAACTCCTAGTGATAGGGTTAAACCAAAAAAAAACCAAACCCGTTGCCATCTAGTAGATCCTGACTCATAGAGACGATATAGGACAGAGTAGAACTGTCCAAGAGAGGTTCCAAGGCTGTAATTTTTACGGAAGCAGACTGCAGACATCTTTGTCCCGTGAAGCAGCTGGTGGGTTCGAACTGCCAACCTTTCAGTCAGCAGCCGGGCGCTTAGCCACTCCACCACCAGGGCTCCTTGTGATAGGGTTAGGGCAGTGGAATCTGCTGCAATGCCCTCTTAGAGTTGGTCCAAATGGGTTTCAGTGTCCCTGCTGCCTGGTATGCTCTTTCCTCTTCTCTGCCTGTTGAACTCATCCTTTGAGGCCCTCTCAGATGCTGTCTTTTCTAAAAGGCTTTCCCTAACCCCCCTCCACTGAAAATAATTGTTTCTTCATCTATGTCCCAAGAGTATTTCACGCTTATGTTCAAAAGATATTTATTGAAAGCCTACTATATGCCAGGGACTTCAGTGGGTTATTAGAAGGAAGAAATCTAAGCTACTACAAAAAAGCAGAGAATTAATAATAAAAATATTGGGTTTTGTTACCATCTAACTGTGTGACACCTCATTATTTGTATGATAATAATGAAAATAATAATCATAGGAAACAGGAACCAGCTACCTGCTTGTTCACAGTGTCAGACCTTGTTCTATGTATATTACATTCATTAACTCATTTAATCCTCAAAATAACTTTGTGAGGTAGTTTCTTATTACAGGTAGTCCCAACTTATGACATACATGAGTTACAACGAACTGAACTTACATCTTTTCTTTTTTTGTACATCTTATTAGTAATATGTACTACATACAATGTTGCAGCATGTAAAAGGACCATACAGAAAATTTTCACTAATTTTCTGACTAAAAACATCATCCTCATTCCCAGCGATAATCCAGATGATCCAGAACCTTCCACAAGTGGAGTTATTACTGCAACTGATTAAATGCCGACGTCATCCATTTTTTCTATGGATGTGTGTATTTTTTTACATATGTATATATTAAAATATATCTGTAAGTTTATATGTAATGTTTCCAACCCCTAAAGACAAATAAAGGTTGGATTTATAAAGATACTAATAATAAAAGGCAATAATAATGAAAACTAAAAAAACAAAAACGAGGTGTTTGCCTTACGTCAAAACTGACTTACCACAGGGTCGTCAGAACAGAACCCGGTCTTAAGTCAGGGACTACCCGTATTTTCTCCATTTTACAAATGAGGAAACTGGGGAACCAAGAGATTAAGTAATTTTCCCAAGACACACAAGGTTTTCTAGCTCTAGAGACCATCATTAATTTCACTTGTTTTTTTTTTTTTACTTATTTAATGTGGCTACTCGAAAATCTTAAAATTACGTATGTGGCTTGCATTGTATTTCTGCTGGACAGAGCACTCTAGCTGCACTGAACTTCACAATGTTCTTCAAATGCCCAGACCCCTTCATAACTCTTTGTCTCTACATGTTCATTGTCTTTTATTGCAAAATCCTTCTCCTCAGCCTGTCCCCCTCTTCTGGCAAATGCCTCCACTCAGCCTTCAAGACCCAACTTTAAAAATCACCTCTTCTATGTAGCTCACCAAACATCCAGAGTTATCTGCAATATCTGTGCTTCTACCATACTTCACTGTGTTGTCAGCCAGGGTATTTGTTTATAAATCTATCTCCCCTATCCTTGAGGTCAAGTAAATTGTTCACCACTGCACTCTCAATCTATCTATATACATATACACGTTGTTGTTGTTGTTGTTGCTGAGTGCCACTGAGTTCATTCTGACTCACAGTGACCCTGCGGGAAAGAGTAGGACTGCCCTATAGGGTTTCTTAGGCTGCAATCTCTCTTTACAAGAGCAGTTCGCCAGGTCTTTTCTCTAGTGCAGTCACCAGTGGGTTCGAACCATCGACCTCTGGGTTAGCAGCCAAGTACTTAATCATTGAGCCACCACAGCTCCTTATACATATTCATATATATACACATACATATGCACTCAATACATTTTTATTTAAAGAATGAATAAGCTTTTAATCATTCTACGTCTTTGCTTCCCTAGGGTATGAAAGTACCTGTCTTGTCTCATTCTCAAAGAAGCTATAAGAATGAAAACCTTCTATTATATTTAACACACTTTGAAAAATTATGAAAACTACATACTACTGCTACTCTCCTTTTTGTTACAACTATTTTCATGGATAGGTTCTTGGTTTCTATAGTCAGCGTAATGATGCTTGTTTTAAAAAAGTTAAACGTTTTAAAGCAATCAAAATATTTTACTAGACTGTAATTAATTTTGAAAGTATATTTTTCCAATATGTTTTGGTGGGGAAAAAAAAGTTCACAGATGATCCATTAATTAATAGTTACCACAAGTATCATTCTTCATTAAAAATTTTCTACCCGTAAAACAAAATGAGACTAAATGGGCACACCAGCCGAGGGGCAAGGATGAGAAGGCAGCAGGAGACAGGAAAGCTGGTAATGAGGACCCAAGGTTGAGAAGGGGAGAGTGCTGACACATCGTGGGGTTGGCAATCAATGTCACAAAACAATATGTGTATTAATTGTTTATTGGGAAACTAACTTGCTCTGTAAAGCATTCATCTAAAGCACAACTGAAAAAAAAATTTTCTAAACATTCTGCAAACATTAACTATTTCACAATACATTTCTAGTGATGGATTAGAATCATATAATGACAGCATTGTGGAGATACAGGAAAGCTTAGGGATCCCCAGTTCATATACTTGTTTTATAGATAGTTCATCAAGGCCTGTTTTGTAATCCCCAGGCAGCATGTAACCCCAGCAACTACAATCATCCAGGTAACTGAATGGACTGGCACAGACTTCCCAGAGGATCACAGATTGCCTTCTCATAGGAAACTGTATGCATTTACATAAAGTTGAAACCCAATGAAGGATAATCAAATGTAGTCTGAGAAGCAAATAACTATAATACATGTACTCAAACAGAGTCATGTAGAGGAACACAGGAACACAGGAAGAATGCAGGAGATCATGAAAAGCCGCAGAGAAGTCATGACTTCTGAAGAAGGTGTCCAGGAATGGCTCAGTGGGCAGAGAAGAGGGACTCACACACCTGCCAGAGGGATCACTGGAACATCACCCTTAGCTCCACATTCTAGCTAAAAGATATGTCCAGAAAACAGTAGTGTCTATGTCTATCATTTTTGCATCTTTCTGCATATACATCAATAGCATTACTAGATAACATGCCATTTTGTGATAATACTCCTTAGTGCCTCCTATAATGTCAGTTAAATTAATTTTTCATGGTAACAATGTCACAAAACAATATGTGTATTAATTGTTTAATGAGAAACTAGTTTTCTCCGTAAACCTTCATCTAAAGTACAAAAAAAATTTTTTTAATTAATTTTCACACTAAGAAATGATGTAATTACTTTAAAACAGAAACTGATGGCTATGTTATTCTGATTACCTTAACTAGACTGTATCTTCAAATCCCACAAACATAATAAATGATTATTTTTTAAAGCAGCCTTATTTAAAAGATGATGGTTTGTCATCTTTTAGTGGATCGGTTTTTACCTGAGTGTACCATCAGCACTTTAGAAGGTTTACTGAGATCAAAAGCGAAAAATAACATATTGCATATAAAATCACATAGAAAACTTGACATAAGTAAACACTAAATACATCTTAGTTGGTTCTGAACCTGGTTTTCCCTAGAACATAATGTAAAAATTACTCTTATAATTCTTGGCTAGAATTCATAATTATATATCTCTCCAATAGAGCACTACAAGAATCTTTTATTATTGTTTTTAGAAAGGCACATTAGTCCAACTCAGATGTTTTTTTAATTAATAAATAGTAGAAAATATTATATTATTATTACTAACAGTCCATATCTGGCAAGTTAACAAAAGTGGAACAGAATATTTACATATCACATTCCACTTAAGGAAAACATCGTAAAATGCAATTTTAAAACACAGGGACTATAACTAGATACACAATTTATACATTCTAAACAAGAAATAGAGATATGTCATAAAAATTAGAATAGTGAATTATATAGCCAGAATAAGAGCTATAATCAAGGTCAACTTGAAGAAATTCTCTCCTAAGACACAGATTTAGAGTCACCATAAACCATGAAATTTGTTCGAGGCCTGAAGTCAGTCCAAAGGAGATGATCAAAGGCATGAGGCAGTTTATTTGCATGAAAGGACTAAAAACATTAGTCCTCCTTAGTGTGAAAGGACACAGGCCAAAATTAGATATATTTTAGTGTACAGAGCTAATTTTAGGAAAGTCAAAATAAAAAGGTACAATTTTACACAGGGAATGATAAGATGATGGAATTCATTTACCTAAAACAGAAGCTGGGGAAAAAATCATGAACAGTCATTGGAAGTCTAACACTT